AAAAGGGTGCGGTACACAAATTGAATTTTTACCTTCAGATCGTTATAAGTGTGGAATGAGTGAGTGAATATGGTTTTACGCCGCTTTTAGCAATATCACGGCGGGGGACACCAGAAATGGGCTTCACACATTGTATCCATGTCGGGAATCGAACCCGGGTCTTCGGCGTGACGAGCGAACGCTTTAACCACTAGGCTACCCGACCGCCCCTGTCCATTTAAGAATTTCAATGTGAAAAAAAACAAACTTTTTTCAAATATATTTAATATTTCTATTTTGGGCATACTTGGGCTGTATGGCGGTCACGTGTCACCGTTACAGTACATGTTAGCAGATCAAAGGTCGCTAGACAATGCGACCGAGGAAGTGGTCAAAAGTAACACGTGTTATGTTTGGGCTACATTTCCTTAGTAAAGTACAAAGTCTTGTTCTGTTTTGTGTGGAGTCCCATTCGGGATTCGAATCCACACTACTTAAATAAAATATAAGTTTTTACTTCCCTCTTGAAAATGGGTTAGTGAGTTATTGTTTTTTTGTGCCACGGTCGACCATCGTGAAATTGTTGTTGCACGTGGTGTTCAGCGCACAGGTCACAAATCAGGTGAATTTAAGCAGCGTTTGTGCGGAGAATAGTTGGATGGGTGACCATGTTCGGCCCCTTGACTCCTGAGAGTTTCTATGGCTTCGGTCCTGTCCCGCAGTGAAGAACACGTAATGCATGGCAAGTGAGCGTGTTCGAAATATGCGTCTGTTCACCCAGCAGTGAATGGGTACCAGGTAGGATGACTGTTTACCTTCTATCTCCTCACGGGCAGCCTCGCTGAGTGAGTAAGGGAGTGTGTTAATTTCAGTAAAGGGGACACCGGTCCATTGCACAGTACAATGACATGATAATGTTCAACACGGGGAATGCCGTAGAAAACTTGAAATAAATTGGCAGAATGTTACATCAAGTCATGATAAAAGGGATATACGAGACAAAATGATACGCAGATTCAATTACTGGTATTACAAATAGTGGACAGAGTCGCTCATTTCTTGCTATACCAATCTTTCTACCCTTTTCAATCATAAGAACAGGGTCAGAAAATCGGAATTTTGCTAATGCTATTCTGTATTACAAATAGTGGACAGAGCCGCTCATTTCTTGCTCTACCTATCTTTCTACCCTTTTCAATCATAAGAATAGGGTCAGAACATCGGAATTTTGCTAATGCTATTCTGTACTCAGGTATAGTCACTGCAGATAAATACACTTCAAAACAATATTCAAATTTAACTAAGTCATACAAATCTAGTTTAGGGATAAGCTTAATATTATCAAGCCATTCTTGCTGCTCAATCGCTGCAAGTCTTTCTTTAAATCTACTCAAAACTGGCTGTTTATAGCCAGTATTTGTGTTAACCCATACATAGTCGCAGCCACATTTAGATATTAAAGTTTTAACACGTTTTGTCCAGCGATCGGAACCTCGTTCTGCTGAACTGTATTGATAAGAATGTACTTGTTGCAGAATAACGTTATCTTCCTGGTGAAATAGTCTAATCTAATATTTAATGATATCATATATATACCAACTCGAAGTGGGCACCGACTTAGTCCATACCTTGCAGCCAAACTAGATGTATGTCTGCCAAGGCGGGGGACATATTTACAAAAAAGCATCATAAACATGTGTAATGTCGGAGAATGGATAAAATCACCACATTCCTGCACCAGAATTCAGTGCTGGAAGTATTTTAATATTAAAATATTGCAATAAGAAGGAGGAAGATCGAAGGCAGGTGAATATTGTGTTCGTGGTAGATCGGGGGCAGATGAATATTGTGTTCCTGGCAAATCGGGGTCAGATGAATATCGTGTTCCTGGCAAATCGGGGGCTGATGAATATTGTGTTCCTGGCAAATCGGGAGCTGATGAATATTGTGTTCGTGTTAGATCGAGGGCAGATAAATATTGTGTTCGTGGTTGATCGAAGGCAGATGAATATTGTGTTCCTGGCAAATCGGGGGCTGATGAATATTGTGTTCCTGGCAAATCGGGGGCTGATGAATATTGTGTTCGTGGTAGATCGAGGGCAGATAGATATTGTGTTCTTGGTAGATCGAAGGCAGATGAATATTGTGTTCCTGGCTAATCGAGGGCTGATGAATATTGTGTTCCTGGCAAATCGATGGCAGATGAATATTGTGTTCGTGGTAGATCGAGGGTAGATGAATATTGTGTTCGTTGTAGATCGAGGGCAGATGAATATTGTGTTCCTGGCAAATCGGGGTCAGATGAATATTGTGTTCTTGGTAGATCGAGGGCAGATGAATATTGTGTTCCTGGCAAATCGGGGGCTGATGAATATTGTGTTCCTGGCAAATCGGGGGCAGATGAATATTGTGTTTCTGGTAGGTCGAAGGCAGATGAATATTGTGTTCTGACAAATCGGGGGCTGATGAATATTGTGTTCGTGGTAGAACGAGGGCAGATGAATATTGTGTTCGTGGTAGATCGAGGGCAGATGAATATTGTGTTCGTGGTAGATCGAGGGCAGATGAATATTGTGTTCGTGGTAGATCGAGGGCAGATGAATATTGTGTTCATTGTAGATCGGGGGCAGATGAATATTGTGTTCCTGGCAAATCGGTGTCAGATGAATATTTTGTTCCTAGCAAATCGAGGTCAGATGATTATTGTGTTCCTGGCAAATTTGGGTCAGATGAATATTGTGTTCGTGGTAGATCGAGGGAAGATGAATATTGTGTTCCTGGCAAATCGAGGGAAGATGAATTTTGTGTTCCTGGCAAATCAGGGTCAGATGAAAATTGTGTTCCTGGCAAATCGAGGGCTGATGAATATTGTGTTCATGGTAGATCGAGGGCAGATGAATATTGTGTTCCTGGCAAATCGGGGTCAGGTGAATATTGTGTTCGTGGTAGATCGAGGGCAGATGAATATTGTGTTCCTGACAAATCAAGGGCAGATGAATATTGTGTTCGTGGTAGATCGAGGGAAGATGAATATTGTGTTCCTGGCAAATCGGGGTCAGATGAATATTTTGTTCCTGGCAAATCAGGGTCAGATGAATATTGTGTTCATGGTAGATCGAGGGCAGATGAATATTGGGTTCCTGGCAAATCGAGGGAAGATGAATTTTGTGTTCCTGACAAATCGGGGTCAGATGAATATTGTGTTCCTGGCAAATCGAGGGCTGATGAATATTGTGTTCGTGGTAGATCGAGGGCAGATGAATATTGTGTTCCTGGCAAACCGGGGTCAGATAAATATTATGTTCCTGGCAAATCGAGGGCTGATGAATATTGTGTTCCTGACAAATCAACGGCAGATGAATATTGTGTTCGTGGTAGATCGAGCGCAGATGAATCTTGTGTTCCTGGCAAATCGGGGGCTGATAAATATTGTGTTCGTGGTAGATCGAGAGAAGATGAATATTGTGTTCCTGGTAGAGCGAGGACAGATGAATATTGTGTTCATGGTAGATCGAGGGCAGATGAATATTGTGTTCCTGGCAAATCAGGGTCAGATGAATATTGTGTTCCTGGCAAATCGAGGGCTGATGAATATTGTGTTCGTGGTAGATCCAGGGCAGATGAATATTGTGTTCCTGGCAAATCGAGGGCTGATGAATATTGTGTTCGTGGTAGATCCAGGGCAGATGAATATTGTGTTCCTGACAAATCAAGGGCAGATGAATATTGTGTTCGTGGTAGATCGAGGGAAGATGAATATTGTGTTCCTGGCAAATCGGGGGCTGATAATATTGTGTTCGTGGTGGATCGAGGGAAGATGAATATTGTGTTCTGGCAAATCGAGGGCAGATGAATGTTGTGTTCTGGCAAATCGAGGGAAGATGAATATTGTGTTCATGGTCGATCGAGGGCAGATGAATATTGTGTTCGTGGTGGATCGAGGGCAGATGAATATTGTGTTCGTGGTTCATCGAGGGCAGATGAATATTGTGTTCGTGGTGGATCGAGGGCAGATGAATATTGTGTTCGTGGTTCATCGAGGGCAGATGAATGTTGTGTTCGTGGTGGATCGAGGGCAGATGAATGTTGTGTTCCTGGCAAATCGGGAGAAAGTCGAATCTTTCTCCCTGGTAGATGAGTTGAGTAGGGTAGGCGAGCAGGTGAATAATATCTGTGGTTTCCTCCAATAATCGCCGAAATAGCGTCACCATTTTCTTGCTGGTCACATAATACTAAGCTATAGTTACATTCGTATTATCACAGTTTGCTTGTTTGTTCCTTTGTTTAGCAATATTGCGGCTATATGACGGAAGGCCACAGATAACTGAGCATCTTTTCATTGACTGTTTTATTGGCGAGTAAGTAAGAAAACGTACAACTTTATGGATAACAACTTCTGGTTTATTGCATATATTGCATATATATATATATATATAGCGACGTTTCGATGTAGATTCCTACTCTTTTCATTACAGCAACATGTGATTGTTACGATGCGACTTTAATGGATCGAGTGGTCAGGCTAGATTACTTGGTTGATTGCATCCCATCGTGCTCTGGCGGAACGGAACGAAGGTCATAATATCAATCACTGGTTTGTCAAGTCCGGACTCGATTATTTACAGGTCGCTGTCGTATAGCATGAATATGGAATAGTGCTAAGTGTGGCGTTAACAAACAAAAAAACATAAAATCTTACCGTCTGGCGAATGCTGAGTTTTAACACTGATCATTGAGTTGTCAAGCAACTTCCTGGTAATTTTACGTGTGCATCGGTTGATTATAGCATGATGGAACAAATAATGAAAACATTCGTTGCTATTACTGGCAAACTATCTTCAAAGAATGGATGTGCTGTCACCGTGAATTATAGACATACAAAAATAAATACTGAATTAATAATTATTTTGTTCAATAGATGTATTTAATGTGGGACCGAACTCATCTCATTACCAGCAGTTTTAATATCCTCATGAAGAATTGGGTGCAATACAGGATAACCTCCCTTAGATATACGATTTTCATAATAGAGGGCGCAGTTGGGTGACGTCACTTATATCCTTCTCGCTAACCTCGTGTAAGATGGCAGACACAAAGTTGTACGAAATTTTAGGCGTCAGTAAAAACGCTTCCGATAATGAAATCAAAAAGGTAAGAACGGTTTTCGAAAGGGGAACGTATATTCTTATAACCTAACACAGTCCCGACCATGGAAATCTGGGCTTTTGTTGGCTTTTGGCTGTCATTTTGCACGTGACAAAGAATGTTCTTCCGTTTCTAGAAGTATTTTTTCGTCATGTAGCCATTCATAGCCACCTATTCGCATCACATTATTTTTACATTAACTACACGGGGTTTCCCCACCCAATTTTCGAAGAATTTCAAATGTATTGTAATGTTATTTTCATGTGGGCAGAACGTTCGGAAATGGGTTGAACGAATGCTAGGCTACATGTTCAGACGTAGCTATCAAACATATCAAACGCATAACAAAATGTGCTTGCTCATTCACCTAGCGTATTTTAGATTCTAATGAGTTTGTATGCACAACATACAAATACATTCATTTGTTCAAAGTGAATATTGTTGTTACTAAAATTTAGAAGATATTGACTGTAATTACTAAATAGTCATTGACGTAACACTCGACTGTGGTGTCAGACCACTATGTAGGCCTAACTAATGCTAAGTGGCTGATTACACACCACGATGAGCTTTGTTGATTTGTTTTTAGAAAATTAATTATTCTCATTTATCTTGCACATCAGGGTACACGATCATTATGTGACTGATATATTTCCTCTAATTTCTGCCTATTTTATAAAGAAACACAGAATTTTATACTTCCTGTTGCTAGTTGAGATTCAGTGTCCTCAGCCTGAGGGCAAGTAAAAAACCGAAGGTGTTTCCAACTTTTGATGGGTCGGAATATGCTCACCTTTTTGTGAACACCTGGTATCATCACTATTTGATAGTGATTCATATTACTCATGCTTGTGTACATGATGTATGAGCAAAATCATACAATCGTCTCTGCTTTTACTTTTAGCAGAGATTTCTTATGAATATGGAAAGGGTTTTGACACTATTTAAAAAAAAAACATTTTTTTTTACCAAATTCCCGTAAGCATTTGATTTAGGCTGGTGATATCCACAAATCTGTGTATGATACATCATTTTTATTACCAAAATGCATTGTTGGTACCTCAATTAGTATATATGGTCCTTCACATACTGTGATGTCACCTGTTGCCATGGCAACCCTATTTTCAAGGTATTTTGATTTCACATTCTATCTGGCACAATAAACACTTCACAGGGCCACCTGCTAGATTATTTAAGGCTCTTCAAAAACGCTATCTCGATAATAATTTTCAGTATGCGATGTTTATATGAGATGAATATTTTCTCAAGGATAAGGCCCATGTCAAGAATGTAACTTGATAATTTAGTTGAAGTAAATCATGTCAATCAACATGTTCAACCCAACAGAGCAACATTTGTATCTGGGAAGCTTATCAGATCTGATGTAATCCAGCACACAACTATCAAATTTTGTCATAAATTACAGGTCCCAGTTAGGGCCATATCTTTGAAAATATTTTGAATTGATTCCTATAATTATTTCAGTCTGTGCATTACTATCATGATTTTCTATCATGTTCACGCTTGTACATTCTTGTATCATGACCAGTGATCGATGGTAAACCTTTTGTTTTAACACAATATTGCAATATTGGCTATAACCTTCCTGTGTACTAGTACCATTAAAGAATCACAATAGCAGTTTAATTATTTGACTATGTAACAAGTTAATGTATTACAAATTTGCTTCATGTCTGGTTTCTTTGCATGATCAGATGTAGAACATAAATGTTTTTGTTTGTGTCCTGTTAGCATGGTTAGTGTTGCAGTAGCAGAAAAATATTCATATCACATTCTGGTACTTTGCAATGATAGTTGCTGGAAACCATGGTTACAGAGCCAATAATACATCCTCCATGGTAAAATGACATATTTTTGTATTAAATGGGAAGAGAATGATGACTTTAACATTGGGCTTTTCATGCTATACTTCTGGAGTTGATGGTAGTCTTTCATTCCCCTGGCTTATAATGTGGGAGGATAGTCATCATCTGGTCTGTCTGTCCCTATTTTGTTTACAGAGCATAACTTGAAAACCGTGAAAGGTTTTTCATCCAAACTTGGTGGATGTATTAACCAGGGCTGAAGTGGTGCCTTTTGCTATTGTAGGGGCCAGGGGGATTTTATCATTTTCTGATGACTTTTGTTTTTAATCAGACGTTTTTATGAATTGGGTAATAATGAAATTTGTCTTGTCACAGGCTTACTACAAATTGGCAAAGGAATTTCATCCTGACAAAAACCCAGAATCTGGTGAAAAGGTAAGTAATTTGTTTTATTGAAAACGTGTTCAAAATTACACCTTAGACATCAAGTAATTTAGGTAAAATATTTGAGAGTTTGTAGAATTTAAAACATTGATATTTTGAATTGTACATGACTTTCAGATCTTGTACATATTGCATGGTCCAGACTCGATTATTTACAGACAGCTATCATATAGCTCAAATATTGCTGAGTGCGACGTTAAACAACATGTTGCAGGGAAAGCAACATGCAAAATTGTGGTACTCAATTTAGATATGAATAACAAGGGAGTGAATTAAAAGTTTCTTTTTCTTTTACATTATCATGATTATGCAGCAAATACACTATTTCCTAGTCATCATCTGACACTCTTGAATCTGTTTCAGTTTAAGGAAATAAGTTTTGCATACGAGGTTCTATCTAACCAAGAGAAGAGGGAGACATATGACAGATTTGGTCTTCAGGGTTTGAAGGAAGGTGCATCTGCAGGTAAGACTGTTTCCTTCTCAAGTTTAATCATTGTTTCAAAACTGATTGGAGTCGTGTTCATTTACTGCAGCACAATCCTAAGCTACAGTACATCACAATGTGAAATATTCATGCATCTGATATGTCCAAGCATGTGAATATTCACGCGGTAGCTTCTTTCTTTATTTGACTTTAAAAAAATACTGATGGACTTCCTGTTTTCATTTTGCGAGTGTCCAAGAAAGTTTATTTTAGAGTTGAAACAAAGTGCCCTTCCAATGTTTGGATTTCACCGAAGTGGTAAACGTCTGAGACCTGCATCACTTCAGACTTTCCCCCCGCATTAAGCAGTGTTAAGATGACACGCTGCGATATAACTGGAATACTGTTAAAAGCAGCGTTAAACACCACTCACTCCTATTGTGGGGACAACCTCTGTGGTGGAGTGGATAGAGCATCTGTTTAGAGTGAAAAGTTGTTGGTTCATTCTCTGTCCACATCATACCAGTGGTTGGATGGTACTTTTGTTGCCCTGTCTGGCATTCAGCATTATGGGGATAAGACAAGGCCTGGTTGACTCAGTTGGTGCCGGTATAATGTATCTCCATGGGGAATTTATGTTGAACTGTGGCTTGGTCTCAGTAGGCTAGCATTACACAACCAGCAACTGCCTGGACTAGTACAAGCAGCCACACAACCGTGCATGACATGTAAGTGCAGTGGTCTTGGAACGTGATGTTAAACCCCATTTCACCTCATTGTGTGGTGGAGGATAGCCTAATGCTTGGAACACTTTCTCATGCTGAAGACCTGCGTACGGTTTCTCATAGAAGTACATTGGTACATTCTTAGTGTCATCTCTCATGTATTGATGATAGCGCCGTAAACCCCAAATTACTTAATCCTTTTGTGACTTCATGTATGATTTTCTGTGTTTGTTTCAGGGGGTGGATTTGGAGGCGGCCTCTTTGATGACCTGTTTGGGAATTTCTTTGGCTTCCCGGGAATGGGAGGCGGTGGCGGCGGCGGCGGGGGTAGGAACCGCAGGAGGCGTGGGGAAGATACTTTCCACCCTCTCAAGTATGTTCAATATTTTCCTATGCGACCATAAAATAGAAACCACAATGATTTTGCTAGACTAAAATCATTAGAACATTTTCATGATTCTACTAAATCATTAGTACATTTTGGATGACAATCATTCAGTGTCCAAGAAAATGAACCAGCCTGAAACAAGCTCTTGGCTAGTGCTAATTTGTATCTTTTAAAAAATGTCCAAGAAAGTGATTTGTTGGTTATATTTCCATAGAATGTATCACATGGCTGAACATGTATCACATACCATGGCATAGTCACCAGCATACTTCACATGACAATGTTATATATTTGTACGATTTGTATGTATTTAAAAATACAACTTGTTTGTTTTTCAGAGTGTCTTTAGAAGACTTGTACAATGGTAAAACTGCCAAACTTCAACTAAGCAAAACTGTGATTTGTGGAAAATGCAATGGGTAATTACAGCATTTTTCTTCATTTATTGCTGATGTAATGTTTTGTTCTTTAACAGTTTTAGCACAGGATTGAAAAAGCTTTGAATTTAGATTCTATCTTGGACATTGTTGAAAAAGGCCTTGAAATGTATTAAGTGCCTTGACAAAGTCTTGAATTACCAAAAACATGTATCTACATACTTGGACCACCACACAATACCTGCTTATGTCAGGGATATCACTCATATAAACTTATCTCCAGCATTCTACAAATTATAGCCCTGGAGAATGTTTTTGAGACACCGGTCAGCCTTTCAACAGTCATGGCCATGGCCTGAAGAAAAGTTAGTTGAACTGAATTTGTCATTATACTGGAAATGATGTCATTAGAATGGAGTTTGTGAAATTACCTTACAATAGGACTGGGGCTTTTGTTAAGTAACCTCAAGATCGGAAATGTACTTGGGTATCGCAGTATGTTAATAATACATAGCTGAATTCAGTTTGTAGATGTAGAAATCATGTGTTGCCTTATCTAAAGGTAATGGCACCAGACTAGAAACACAAGGTGTTAAAGGGTCTGTTTCTGGTTTTGCAAACACTTTGTTGGTTGAGAACACTGTTCCACTGTAGTCAACTGTGTTTGATATTTATCTGCTTATGATGCATCAATTCTGTGAATTCTCTGTTGTACTATTAAGGAATTACTGTCAGGAACAGAGAAAAATATTTATTTTGGGCCATGTCTTCACTTTTACTGATAGCACTACTCATCTCATAGCAGTACAACAGAAATACACAAATATATTGAAAATTATTCAACCTGATCGTTCTTAAAACTTATGCAATTAATAATGTAATGATAGGGGTAATTCAAGGTGTTTACTAAACATTGTCATGTTTGCACATTTTACTGAAGTCATCAGCCTTCAAAAGACTTGCATTGAAGATGTTGAGCACAAACAGGTCACATTAACTTGCGGTCATAAGTTCACCTGTAAGAAGGATGGATAGCCATTAGGAGGGTCTGTATCAAATGGTTATGATTTCTATGATATAAATATCAACACCAGTTGTCTCATTATTTGACCATCTCTCCAGTTGTTCCTATATTATTATGTATAGCCTGTACACTGAGTGCAGGTTACAGTTTTAAGATATTGTCTAAACTGTTAACATTATATTTTATTCTGATATTTTTTTCTTGAGATGATCCCTGTTTTGCTTCACTGCACTTGATCATGTAGTATGCTACTAACAAGTGTGTTGAAGCAAGGCACATTTTAGCTTGAAATAAGATTAGTAATGAGTCATAAATGCTTACACAATGGTTTACAGTGTACTTCTTGTTGTAAAAAAGTTAAATATTATTTTTAATGTTGGTTACAGTTCAGTTGGCGAGAGGAGAGCTTATGTTATGATTGCAGTTTATGTGCTTCCATTTTTACCTACAATATTTGGTATGTTTGGTAGGCCAGAGCTTTGAAACGGCGATACAAGGCGATCAGTGTTGTATGGAATGTCTGGCCTTGTGTAAAGATATGATAGGATAGTGCGTTTAGGACACTCGTGATATTGATTGATCTAGAAACATTTAAGCAATGACTCAAGGGCCTGTGGATCCCACTTGCACAAAGCGAACGTGGCACTACGACGATCGTATCTTGCATACTTTAACATAAATTTATGATAGTTGTAGCGCTAAGATTGCTTTGTGCAAGTTGTCCCTGATGTAAACTTAGTTGCCAGAACTAAAGGTTGCATAAATTTATATCATGTACATGTGGTTGGAAAACATGGTAGATCTTCTAATATCATGAATGTATAGACATTAAATATTTCAACATGATCGAAGAAAATTTGTCGGTGCATTTACTTGAGGAAAGATCTCTTTGTTTATAAGTTGCTACTGACTGCCTCCGTGGTCTAGTGGTAGAGCGTCCGCCCGGAGAGCGGAAGGTCCGGGGTTCGATCCCTGGCCGTGTCATACCAAAAGACTTTAAAAGATGGTACTTGTTGTTACCCTGTCTGGCGCTCGGCATTAAGGGGCTAAAACAAGGACTGGTCGGCTCAGAGTCAGTATACTGTGTCTGAGTGGGGTATTCATGTTAAACTGCGGCATGGTATCTCAGTTTGCTAGCACTATAAATCGGCATCAGTCCGGACTAGTACAAGCAGCCACACACACACAAGTGCATGCACATCGCTTTATGAGTGCAATAATCTTGGACGCGACGTTAAACCCAATTTCACCTCACCTCATAAGTTGCTACTTTATTGGATATAGAATATCTTGGTATGTGTGGAATGGATAGTTTTGTCATAGTGCTGAACAAGAATTGTCCTTTGCAGCATGGGGGGTAAGCAGGGAGCAACGGTAAAGTGCCGTAACTGCCAGGGGCGGGGCGTGAAGATCACACTGCGTCAGCTGGGGCCAGGGATGGTGCAGCAGATGCAGTCTATATGTAATGAGTGTCATGGTGAAGGTACGTTGACTGGAAGATGGTATCAGGTTATATTTCAACTTGTCATTTTTGTTTTTTCATTATGTTACAGTCCGTTGCATTTATCATATGAATTGACATAAATGTAGAACCTCACCAAGTGTCTCTTGATATGTCTGCTCAAGTATAAACTTTTGTTAATGAGTGTGGTTATTTTAAATTTTTTCCCAAATTTTATTTTTTATGGTTTCCATGGAAAAAAATTCGAAAGTGAGGGTAGGGTTCATTTCGGTGCAATGACTTCAAAACCTTTCTACATGTTTTAACAAAACTTGGCATGTACATTGCTCATTAGCTTAATTGGTTCTTTTTGCTATTTTTAAATCTTTCTATTTTGATTTTATTTTGTTACATTTCCATGGAAACAATTTGTTCTCGAACAACTCAAGGCTTTGTTTCCGAGCCATAACTCTCAAACTACCGCTAATGAATATTTCTTCATGAAACCTTTTTCATTCCAGTCTATAATTTGCCAGTATTTTATATATTTATATATACTGAGTAAAAACACATTCTAGTCTTACTTTGAGCTTTAGTTTGAATCATGGTTTGCACTGTTTTATTCAGGTGAAACAATTAGTGACAAGGATAGGTGCAAGTCATGCAAGGGGAAGAAAGTGACAAATGAGACGAAGATTTTGGAAGTGCATGTTGACAAAGGAATGAAAGATGGCCAGAAGATTCCATTCAGAGGAGAGGGGGATCAGCAGGTAGAGTGGAATAACACTTTGTGATGGATCATAGTGTACATGCATTGTTCTGCTATAAGTAATTAGACAATTCTGTCAGTTCTCCATGGGACATGAGTGACTGGTGGAGTCGCTAACCTTTGCCATGCAAGGTGACCATGACTTTTGAATACCAGAGTTTCTTTGACCAATATCTGTGTTACATATAATGCAGACAATATTGGTTGTTTGAACAAAGATGAAACAAAGTCGAAAATAGAAAAAGGTTTGGTTGAGAAGATGAAGGTTGGTTAATGTTTGTTTGTTTGTTTGCTGTTTAACGCCGCACTCAGCAATATTCCAGCTATATGACGGCGGTCTGTAAATAATCGAGTCTGGACCAGATAAACCAGTGATTGACATCATGAGCATCGATCCACGCAATTGGGATACGATGACATGCATGAACCAGGTAAACGAGTCACTCGATCCCATTAGTCGCCTCTTATGACAAGCATAGCCGCCTTTTATGGCAAGCATAGGTTGCTGAGGACCTATTCTATCCCGGATCTTCACAGGCCGGTTGGTTAATGAATGAGTATGAATCACAAAAGCAAGGATTAGTTAATGGTTTTCTTTGTATCTGTTGGATAACGGTCATCAACTGTTGTGAAAATTTCACAGCCTGCTTGATGTTATTCATATCATTATAAATTTGACTATAGAAATGGCCAAAAAATTGTTTCTTTGTAAGGGACACTTAACTGTTAACAAATGCCCCCAAATGAAGATCCACAGGACAATTGGCCTTCAGCAACACATGCTTGTTAGTGGCAGGCTTGATAGGTGGTTGATGCATGTCACTGTATCCCAATTGTGTAGATTAAGGCTCATGTCAGTCACTGAATTGTCTGGTCCAGACTGGATTATTTTGAGACTGCCGTCACATAGCTGGAATATTGCTGAGTTTGGCATTAACAACAAACAGTCTGTTAACAAAATGCTAATATTTCTCCCCTGCAGCCCGACATGGAACCCGGTGATGTGATTATCGTACTCCAGATGAAGGAACACTCTGTGTTTTCCCGTGATGGTGTTGACCTCTACTGCACTCACACTATAGGACTGACAGAGGCTCTGTGCGGCTTCCACTTCTCCCTCAAACATCTAGATGGCCGGGAACTGGTAATCAAGAACCCTCCAGGAGAGGTCATACACCCAGGTACACAGAATAGCTTAGTGGTTAAACTTAAAGAGGTCACATGCTGAACACTAGGGTTTAATTCCCTATGTTGGAATGTGTGAAGCCAATTTTGGTGCCCCTGTCATGATGTACATGATCTAGCTGAATACCAAAATGATGTTACTGTGTGTATGGTGTGAATGTATGCACTTACCTTTGCTCCTCTGTTCATCCCTCCCCGCAGCTGTAGTTTCTCAGTCATATGGTGAGGAGTTAAGTAACTAGTATCAAGCAGGTTTTAATAACACTTAAGTAGGATCATAAGCTAGCTTTACTACAAGGCATGTGCTTTTTTATCTCCGCACATGGGGCAAGGGGGGGTGCAGATATTGAAAAACGTACAATATTTCTCACCAAACTTGGTACATAAATAGATCTAGTGGTGAACTGGTGCATTTTGTTACTCTGGGATTTTAAAAAAATCTTCTTTTTCTAGTTTTTGGCAACAACCTTGACTTTGGCTGAAAATGGTAGTAATGCTTGTTGCCGGAGCAGATCTTGAAAACCGTACAATATTTCTCACTAAACACAATACATTTATGGTTCTAGTGGTGAACTTGTACCTTTTGATAAGTTTGGGATTTTCTTTAAATTTATTTTTTGAGTTACCTTGGCAAAAGATTTGTCTTAGGCTGGAAATGGTTTCCGGAGCAGATCTTGAAAACGTCACAACATTTCTTACCAAACTTGGCACATAGATAGGTCTAGTTGTGAACTGGTGCCTTTGATGGTTTGGTTTTGATTTTAAAAATAATTTTTGAGTTTCCATGTCAACAAGTTTCACATATTTATTCATGAAAAGTATTTACCATTGCTGGGGATATTGATGTCCTCTTATTTAAAAGAAGTGACTTCATTACAATATACCATGCCTTTAGCCTTGCCAGGATTCCTACATCCTGTGTCCAAATCCTGTACCTTGATAGTGATCCTTGATCTGTCAGCTTCATACATGTACTCATCAGTGTCACAAAAGTTGAAAATGACTCAGGTTTACATCATTTGGATTTCCTTCCACATATAACTGGCATTTAATGATATAACTTGTACACTGCTGAAAGCAGCATTAATCAGAACTCACTTAAGGAAATGTGCATGAGGGCTGCAACGAATACATTATGAGGCGAGTGTGATACACATCCTGAATATAGGGTAACAAATACGAAATATTTATTCACTAATACAATAACTTCCGGAGTTACATGCTCATGGTAATCAGCTGGTTGTTTGTGTTTTTGGGGGAGGGGGAGGAAACATCGTTTCAGTGTAAAACTTGAGTTTATTAAAAATGTACGGTAATGTATGTCTTGTAATTGCTCAGGTTGAAACATTTCAGTTATATTTTTTGTGAAGCAAACAAGCAATACATTGCAACAATGCTGCAAAAAGCCTCATGTTTTGGGGGAATGAACCAGGGTCTTCGGCAAACTGACACAAGTTACGCTACTGCATGGCTTGTATATGCTCCATTTTGCATATCTCTTTACAAAAACAATCGTATATATTCGATTCTAGTGGCCATGAAAAACGAATTCAATTCATGAAGGGATATGATTCGATTTACTGAATCTGCGAGTGAATCGTAACAGCCCTAATGTGCACTATGTTTTGTCATGGTATAGGCTGATACTCATCTGTTTATTACAGGCATGATAAAGTCAGTGCTCAGTGAGGGCATGCCAATCTACAGAAGCCCCTTCGAGAAAGGAAACTTGTACATAAAATTTGACATCACTTTCCCGAAACAGAACTTCACAACAGAAGCAAAACTAAAGGTAAGTGTGGAACTGTATTATACGATTAAAGCAAGTGACGGTACTTGGTGATCATACAATGTTGTTTAAAAACTCAGTTGATGGTGGACCAGATCTAAATCAAATTGAAATTATGTCATGTAAATTAATGCAGGGCCCACCCGAATGGTCAAAAACAACTACCGGTAGTCTACAGCTCATTTCGTTCTAGTACCGTATTCACTGTTTCATGCTCCCTTCTCGAGTAAGCGACCCCTGACCAATATTTGGACCAGTCTGTTTTTAAGTGCATCCATATTAGATCAATAATTTACATTCCAGTTCATTTTCAAGTGTATATTAGTTGTATACTACACAATGTTTTCCGGGGGGGTTGGGTAGCCTAGTGGTTAAAGCTTTCGCTCGTCGCGCCGAAGACCCGGGTTTGATTCCCGACATGGGTACAATGTGTGAAGCCCATTTCTGGTGTCCCCCGCCGTGATATTCCTGGAATATTGCTAAAAGCGGCGTAAAACCATACTCGCTCACTCACAATGTTTTTCACAGATAACAAGGGCAGAGAAGGGGTATATATGAGTTGTAACCCGAATGATGATGTGTTATGTATAAATGCACCACAGCAATCATGAGAATAGACAAAATATGCATAGATTCTATGCTAAAATGTTGTGATTTTAGAGTGTAAGAAACAGATTACTGCTTTCTTGCCTATCATTTACCATTTATTTTACAACTTGTAAGGTAAATGGTATCTGATAGACACTTGTGAAGTTACGTTAGTCAGTGATTGCTGAATGTGGCGTACAACCCCCTTTTAATATCCATGACATGAAAGCCTTCATTTGGTTATAGGAACTGGAGACTTTGCTTCCTGTCAGAGAGAAAGTTGACATACCCATCGGTGATCATGTTGAGGATGTTGATCTTGTCAACTTTGAAGATACACGAGGTAGTGATGGACGTCGAGGCGAGGCGTATGATGAGGACGATGATGAAGATCACCATGGGCCAAGAGTACAATGTGCTCATCAGTAGTAATTTATTACCTTCACATTTTACGAGAAGACATTTTTTACTCTTGGATATTTAACTGCAGAGGATGTCGATCTGAACTCAGCAAGGTCATAACAAGAACGATATTGGAATCCGACTTTTCAACATTGTTGGTACAAATCTTCCCACGCCTTGAATGTCAAGGTGTTTGTTAGGTTCAACCAATACTGTAGAATCGATGCGACTGTGACATGCCTTTTTAAATCTGTTTTGGACACTACGAGTCCTGATTACCCATAACTAATCGAATACCTGCTGCTGTTGATGAAGCACCACGTTAGAAGGCAGTGAACAGGATGAGTTGGTAGATGTTTTCTAGCCTGTCACAACTCTGAATAGCTGAGTTTTTCCAAGTTGAAGAGAACATTCATGTTTGATACATGTCAACATGGATATCGACTAATGCAACAAGAGGCATGTCTGTAAGTTAAAGAGGATGAACTGTTTCTCACTGACAAACTTGTCAAGAGGACTGTCACAGTTTGTTGTGTATATGAAATATCTACTATTTTAAAATGTTCAAGAAAAGATTGATGGTTCCGTGTATGGGGCTTGAATATTTGCACAAACTGTGAATTTGTTTTTCATGTTTTATGATGCGAGTGTTGTACCATGAGATGAATGGATGGTAATTATCAGCTATGTATTCTCTACATGTAAATGGAGTACTCTGTAGGCTTTCAGTTCACAGTGTTTGTAATGCATTTAATCATATTAATGTGTGTCCAGTTTCAATGTGTAGACTTCTGTCCTCATTTCAAGTATAACCAGCATTACAACATCCTTCCTTGGGAAGGGCAAGCATTTGCATACAGCAGGCCCTTCCTGTGGATATTAAGTTTGTTACATCTGGTACTTGTAGGTTCATGTGCTATAAATCAATCCCTGTATATATACTGATCAGTATGTCGTAGATTTCATTGGAAAAAGGGCATACAAGCAGAGAAATCTAAATGTTTATAATATATGTTCATTGATGTTGAAAATGTGAAATAACATAAATTTAAATATTTCCGTCATATTTACAACACTTGTGCTTGTGGTTCTTTAGTTGAATATAAACAAATGCAACAGAATATTAATCTTGATTATAACTCCTGTATAGTGTGCGTCTTTCAACATGTTGGTTATGTGTCCAGCTGCATGTTGTTTTAAGCTGTACATTTGGTATCACGTGTACAATGGGACACTTCACCCCAAACGACCTATTAAATATATGTAGAAGGATCTGTATCTTCGTCACCCGTTCTTGGATGCCCGAATGTTTTGGGCTGTATTGTATTAGAACACATTAACTTGACTAAACACCACCACTCAATTTCATTTGTAAATGAAACATTGATCCTGTCATTGTATGGCAACTATTTCACATACATACATGTATTTTATTAGTTCATTTTATCTTTAAGTCTCAAATTCAGTGTGTAAATTAAATAAATAAATGCATTACATATGTCTGTGTTAAAGCATTTGAGCAACATTTACTGAGTAGGTCTCTTGGATGTTCTTGCTTTTAGGATGCGAGTGAGTGAAGATTGTTTCATTAGTCTCTTTACAAAATTTGAGAAGGTTGTTGACGTTATTAATTTTTAAAAATCTAACTTCAGGTTAGTACCCCTACTAATGAACTTGCAAAACAATACCGAAAGATAATTTTTTGTATCCATATAGGTATTATTCACCATTTCTCACTAACAGCAGTGATAAAATCTTGATTTGGGGGGTCAATATTTTTCTCTTCTAATTTCATGTGTTTTTTGTCAAAAGTCACGTAAACCAACTAAAAACCATCTTCCCGAGAAGGAAGTTTACCGACTATAAAAAAGTTCTTTCCACCCCTGCCGAACTACACTGGAATTTCGTGGCTTAATCATAGCGCCACCAGTGGCTGAGTTATGTCCCTTCTATGTTCCTCCAATTGACAATCAGATTCCACTGATCTTAGAACTTGCAATGGCTTCAAACAAAATGGCGGCGCGCAGTCAAAACGATCAGATCGATAATCAGAATCAGTATTGTAATATAATGTAATAACTCCGAAATTCCAGCTGAATTTGGCAAGGGTGGAAACTGGATTTTTATAGTCCGTCAGCTCCCTTGCCTCGGGAAGATGACTAAAAACAAATATGCGGCCTTAGCAACACATTCCACAATATGCCAGCTGTATAACCAAAACCGTGGTCGGTAAATAACCATTTCTGGGCCACACAAACCAGTGGTTGATTTAATAATATGCAATCAAATTATGATGACATGCAATCAACCAAGTTACTGAACCTGACCACACAACCCAATTTAGCTTACATCTATAGATCTGTGAGGAGCAATTCTGAACTGGGTCCCAACAAGTTCTTTTAGGATGCACGCTAAAAGTTAGCTTGTTTGTTAAGGAAATAGTAACGGATATTGTAGATCTGGTATACATTGGACTTATTACTTAGGATGCATATTAGGCCACATGCTTTCTGTGCTGGGTTCCATGCTAGCCAGAAACTTATGATTGTTGGATCAAATCTGTGGTTCGTCCTGCTAGTTTGTCAGCACTGTACAGATCTGTACAGTCCTTCCACATTTAGCTGACATGTCATATTAGTGAACTTAACTCACCTGGTGAATGTGTATACAAAAACAGTTATTTCTTTGTCTAACAAGCTAAATTTTAGCTGCTAAGGAGCTGCAAAAAATTACTATCCATAGTTGTCATATTAATATGAATAGGTTATAGAATCACAAAGTGCATCTTATCTACGTAGTTACTGGTCAAGAGCGCTCAGTTAGATGATCTTTTGAAGAGGATGGTCTGGAGGGTTGAGCAGAAGCTGGCATCCACTGGAGACTCATTCCATGGAGCAACGCACGTTCTACCATAGGTTCTGTTTCCATACGTTGTTGCCCGGGCTGGTGGCACCACCATCTGTTGAGCATAATGCCCGTTCAGGTTGAATTCGCCCGTGGTGGGTTCATAGCACTGATTATGATCCAGCAAAATTCCAGCTATGACGGCAGTCTGAAAATCTGACCAGACAATCCAGTGATTGACATCATGAGCGTCGATCCACGCAATATATGGGATATGATGACATGCATCAACCAAGTCGGTGAACCTGACCACCCGATCCCAGATGATTTTAGGGTGTGTGAGAATCAGTTAATACACCCCTGCCGCTCATGTACCATTTAGCTTGGAAAGCATTTCCAACTGTATCAAAGTCAATTCCGCTAGTTAGATACATTTGGAAACAAATCGTAAGATAAATGGTATTGGACAGCCATTCGTGTAGTAATGTTTGTCATCTAAGACTGGCCTCCACGGGTGATATCTCCAATCTAATCTCTGGTTAGCTTTGGGGGCATGGGTGACCCAGTCGTAAAAGGTTGCAGCGATTCGCTGTGCAGAGTTGCGTCCCTTGGGCACGCCAGAAACCTATGATTGTGTGTTCGAATCCGGTTCGCCCCGATTATGTTTCTGGGTTTGTCAGCACCATACCCGTGCTCGTGGGTTTCAACGAAGTGGTAAACGTCTTAGACCTGCATTACTTTGGGCTTTCCTCCCACATTAAGCTGACACGCCGTGATATAACTGGAATACTGTTAAAAGCAGCGTGAAACACAACTCACTCACTCTGGTTAGCTTTACTTTTTACACACTGCTTATTATTGATTTCAAAACTGAAAAAGTTGGAAGAATGATTTTGGATGATGATTAGAATCTCACTGAGGGTCTTTTAACATTAAATGTATCAACTCTTGTCGATAAGAGTTGAACTCAGCAAACCTTGGAATCTTAGACTTTTACCAATCATTGGCAGATCCAGAAGGGGTGCTTTTCCCCCTGTCCCCTGCCCTTTTGAAGACCAAATGAATGTTGTAGGCAGTAAATTATCTGAGGATTTTGATATTTTGGACCCCTCCCTTTCAAAAAGGCTGGATTCGCCCTTGTTGATATGATGACACCTGGGTGAGATTCTGTATTTAATCCTATAAAGTTACACTATCAAATATACCCTGTTATTGAAACAGATTGACAGACTAAATCTTGTGTTTCTTTCTTTTCTCCAATAATGTACAAAATCCTACACTGGGCTGAAATCTTGATTAATAATAGGATCTATTAGCGTTTGTTGTGTTATCACATGAATTGCACAAAATACATTTGAGTGAAATCTATATACAATTGGGATAACATGACATGCATCAATGAAGTCGGCAAGCCTGACCATCCAATCCTGTTAGTCGCCTCTTACGAATGTAGCTACTGACTCCATGCAATGTTCAGAGGAGAAACATTCAATGGTATTAAGATGAGTTCTTCAAATGGTCAAAACCTTGCTTTAAGTCCTTGACTTGTGTCCATGGAAACAAAACTAAAATTGCTGTAGCATTTTGTTCATTCAGATAAGTAACACATTCAATTTTATCCTGTCACAATCAACAAAACAAAGTAGATCTTGCAACTTAACAATTTTATTGCAGTGAAAATGAGACAGTTTGTCTTAGCATGCTTGGCCTTGGGTAGATATTTTCATCTTGATAATGTGATCTATATACTGCCATCTTCATAGCTAAAACATGAAGGAAATATTGCAACATTTCTGGATTGAAATGTCTCAATACATCTTCCTGGAGCTCTTGTTTGCATTGCAATTTTAAAAGGATATTTATTATCATCTTGGTCCCAATCATAAATCAATAAATTAAATGGCTTTATCTAGACCTACTCAGAAGCCGATATTTGGCCACAAGTCTGCAGTAATTGTCAGTAAAAATTCCAAAATTTGAATAAAAAGTTCCAATTTCATGTAAATATAGTGATGTGGAGATTGGTTAAGATAACTTGTTCCATTGATAACAGAAAGGGGAAGATGCTTATTAATTTATTAATTAATGAATTATTGAATTGAATGCAATTTTAAATACCTCTGAAATAGTTCGTTCAAAATTGTTTGGTTCTTTAACATTTCCAACAAGTTTCGGCAGTTTCTCTGTATTTCAAAGACAATAGGCAGTGAAACATTCTAGTTTCTAGTTGATTTACAGTTTTGAGTACTTGTAACCTAAATCACTCTCAAAACATCTTGTAGTTTGGAGATGTCTGTATGTCTCGGGTCTCACAGTATAAGCAGGACATTTTAGATTCAGAAGTTGATTTTTCCAAATTGGTGGAAATTTACCAAGCTTACCACTTCCATATTTCCATGACAACAAAACACTAGTATTGTAGATGTGCCGTAAACATGATAAGTGCTTTTTATTAAATGAAGATCACAGCTAGATATAAATCATGAGCAGAATTTGAATATAATTGTTTCATATTGGTATCACATTGGTTTTTTTAAGGCGGAATGGCAAAAAATCGTGTTTCTTATTTCTTTGTTTCCTGGGGCAGGGGCTGTCGAGGGAGTTGTCTCCCTTGCTCCATCAAGGCCTCAATTTCCTCCACTGTTCTAGGTACGCAGGTTAGAATTTCCACACCATCCTCTGTGACCAGAACGTCATCTTCGATTCGCACCTGAAACACCACACGAGTGATGGATTGTGAGATCAAGATCAAGCTTTCCTCATCACCAGTTGAAGGATGGTCGATAGCCATGGGGTAGGAGGACCAACACCATCAGTCAAGACACACATTGTGACAGCCTTATTTGTTGGGCTGGGACTATACACCAACTGGGCAATCTGTCACGTATCATGACACCTTGTTCATGATCCAATACGTATCACGATACTTGCATGTACTGTGGCATGTAAGCCATACTTTTCATAGACAAGATGGCCAAATAACATGCACACTGACGATTGACAGTTGGCATTTTCAAGTATTGAGCAATGGATAAAAATATTTACCTTTTAACTACTAGTGTTTGGTGTAAGAGTTAATTAAGTAAACATTTGCGGTAAGAATCAATATTTTCTACTCAGTGTGCGACTGTGATCGATACTATCAGGTAAAAAGTTAAAAATTGTGATCCACTGATGCATCAGTGTATCGTCCCACTTCTACTCGTTTGACTCTTGCAACAAGCATGGAATACTGAAAACTTGAAGAGCGTGGTCTCAAAATATAGAGAATCTCACCCGAGTGTCTTTTGATATTAAATATATCAACACAAGTTGATAAAAGTGGCAAAACTCCGAGGCTTGCCGAGGGTTTTTTCCACTTTTATCAACGAGTGAGGTTTTATTTATCATCCAACATCATTCTTCCAACTTTTTCAGTTTGTAGACAATAATAAGCAGTGTCTTAAGTGTAAAAAGTACTGCTAACAGCTTCAGTAGCAGAGCCATTAGTGATGTCATTTGATTGTGACGTCATGGTAAGCAATGACGTCACAATGGTCTGCAAAGCATTGTGAAGCAATTTTATTGCAGCGATATCTACACTGTAGATATCGCTTGATCTCACCCTTGATATCTCCTGTGGGAGCCAGTTTGGGATGATAAATCATGATAACAAACTAAAACTACCTTTGAAAGTTCCAGCTGAACTTGATTCGGGAAGTAATATTTTCTCATACATGTCTGTTTCTATCAGAGATAAATATTGTGAACCTCTGATTGATCAGCGAGAATCAGGAACTTCCCAAATTTGAGGTAGAATACTTCTGCACAAATGCATGTGTGATTCCAATCTAACAATGCAAGAACATTGACCTACCCCTCCAAAACCTCTGTGTCTGTCAATCTGGTCTCTGTTTAGGAACTTGGCCTGTTTGGGGTTGGCAAGAGCTTCATCCAGCACCTGTGAAATACGTTTGGAAAGATCAAAGTCGGATGAATGACCACCCTACAACATTAGAAATATGTCAACATGGCCATCTGCATGATGTAAGTGTATTCCTGCCCTACAAAGAATCAAGCTATCTGATTGGCCGGTTGCTGTCTTGTATACCATAGCCTCCTGTTGATGATCTATGATCCTAGTACATGGTACACCATAGCCTCCTGTTGATGATCTATGACCCTAGTACATGGTACACCATAGCCTCCTGTTGATGATCTATGATCCTAGTATATGGTACACCATAGCCTCCTGTTGATGATCTATGATCCTAGTACATGGTACACCATAGCCTCCTGTTGATGATCTATGACCCTAGTATATGGTACACCATAGCCTCCTGTTGATGATCTATGGCCCTAGTACATGGTACACCATAGCCTCCTGTTGATGACTATGACCCTAGTACATGGTACACCATAGCCTCCTGTTGATGATCTATGACCCTAGTACATGGTACACCATAGCCTCCTGTTGATGACTATGACCCTAGTACATGGTACACCATAGCCTCCTGTTGATGATCTATGGCCCTAGTACATGGTACACCATAGCCTCCTGTTGATGACTATGACCCTAGTACATGGTACACCATAGCCTCCTGTTGATGATCTATGACCCTAGTACATGGTACACCATAGCCTCCTGTTGATGACTATGACCCTAGTACATGGTACACCATAGCCTCCTGTTGATGATCTATGACCCTAGTACATGGTACACCATGGCCTCCTGTTGAGGACCCCAGTACATGGCATGTCACGTCTTCTGACAGACCCACCTGATCTATGAAGTAGCACCCTGGCTCCACCGTCAGCACCATCCTGTGTTCCAGGTTACGGACTGTCCGGAGCGATCGCAGCCCGGGCTCATCAATTCTCTTTGTTCCCTGAAGACAAGAGTCATTGTTAGTGCATCAGCAAGGACTCGGTTACCCGGCCACAACACAAGCTGGCCTGTAACAAAGGCCTCAGTATCTTGACATGGGAACATTTCTATAACCGTGAACCCTGAACCAGGAAGGAAAGAAGCTTCACCAGCCATGATCAGACAGAAACAACAGAAAGACCTTGATATTGCTACAATTTGATAATATATAATAGAAATAAAAATAAAAATAGAAAATGTTAAATGTGCCTTTGAATTTTGGTCTAAGCTTAAATAAATACTTTGCAAATTCAAAGTGTTTCAAGCCATATTGGTGTATTCTGAGCCATAAAACATTTTCCAAATTCTTTAAAGCTATACAGTCAAGCGTATTTCCAACCTAACCAGTAACTGTGGGTATCTTCCTACGTTGCATGTGTATGCAATACCTGTGGGTATCTTCCAGCTCATTTTGTTCTAGTACCGTATTCGCTGTTTTATGCTCCCTTCTCCAGTAAGCGACCCCTGACCAATGTTTGGACCAGTCTGTTTTTAAGTGCCTCCATATTAGATCAATAATTTACATGCCAGTTCATTTTCAAGTGTATATTAGTGGTATACTACACAATGTTTTCCTGGGGGGTTGGTAAGCCTAGTGGTTAAAGCGTTAGCTTGTCATGCTGATGACCCGGGTTCGATTCCCGACATGGGTACAATGTGTGAAGCCCATTTCTGGTGTACCCACCATGATATTGCTGGAATATTGCTAAAAGCGGCGTAAAACCATACTCACTCACTCCTATGTTGTATGTGTATGCAATACCTGTGGATATCCTCCCACGTCGTGGGTGTCGATGCCCATGAAGTGGCCGAGGCCGTGTGGCATGAAGACGGCACCAAGCCTAACAGCCATCATGTCCTCCACCTCACCCTGCACCAACCCCAGCTCCTTCAGCACCGCCAACATCGCCCTCTCCGCCAACTTGTGCATGTCCACGTAGTTTACACCTGCAGGAAGTCATGGATGTAGTACTTTGTCTTAGGTCGAAATTATATAGGCCGTCCATTTAGCACTGAAATTAAGAACTTGTAATCGACTAAACAAATATCCCCAGTTCGTCTTGTTATCACTGATATCAGCCATATAATTTGTTATTAGTTATTACATGAATTGGGAAAATTCCAATTTGGGTCCAACATGACATGGTGACTTGAATTGGCAACCTCTTATGCCAATTTTGGAATTTTTGCTGACATTGCTGCAGACTTGGGGCTGAATATTGGCCTGCTAGGGCTGCTTAATCCCAAAACCAGGAATATGCAGAAAAGGAATTCTGAAGCGACTTGTTCAGGTCACATGTCACGTTAGATCAACCCAAGCTTGCCATAAAAGGTGACTATGCCTGTCGTAAAAGGCGACTAACAGGATCGGGTGGTCAGGCTCGCTGACTTGGTTGATGCATGTCATCAATCCCAATGGCGTGGTCGATGCTCATGACATTTATCACTTGATTGTCTGGTCCAGACTTGATTATTTACAGACCGCCATCATATAGCTGGAATATTGCTAAAAAGGGTCGTAAAACAACAAACCAACCAACCAACCATCCGTTATGTATGAATAGATGGCTTCCTTTAACCTCATCCCTTGTTTTTCTGTGCCATGTGATTACTCTACAAATGCCTGAGTGGCCAACTGTACCTGGTTTGATGGCGTCAAGGACGGCCCGACTTGCCTTGTACACAGCGTTGTACACGCCAGCCTGCTGGGGGGTGAACTTGCCGTTAGCAGGGAAGGAGCAGGTGATGTCGGACGTGTAGCAGTAGTACTCCCCTCCCATGTCAAACAAGCTGCAACACAAGGCATCTACATCTACATCTACATTTACAACTAAAACTACATCTCTCCTGTCATCCCTGACAATGACCTGCCAGATAATGTTCATCCTTGACAATGACCTGCCAGATAATGTTCATCCCTGACAATGACCAGCCAGATAATGTTCATCCTTGACAATGACCCACCAGATTATGTTCATCCCTGACAACGACCTGCCAGACAATGTTCATCCCTGACAATGACCAGCCAGATAATGTTCATCCCATCCCTGACAACGACCAGCCAGACGATGTTCATCCCTGACAATGACCAGCCAGATAATGTTCATCCTTGACAATGACCAGCCAGATAATGTTCATCCCTGACAACGACCTGCCAGACAATGTTCATCCCTGACGATGACCTGCCAGATTATGTTCATCCCTGACAACGACTTCAGACAATGTTCATCCCTGACAACGACCTGCCAGACAATGTTCATCCCTGACAACGACCAGCCAGACAATCTTAATCCCTAACAATGACCTGCCAGACAATGTTCATCCCTGACAACGACCTGCCAGACAATGTTCATCCCTGACAACGACCAACCAGACAATGTTCATCCCTGACAATGACCAGCCAGACAATGTTCATCCCTGACAATGACCAGCCAGACAATGTTCATCCCTGACAATGACCTGCCAGATTATGTTCATCCTTGACAATGACCAGCCAGATAATGTTCATCCTTGACAATGACCAGCCAGACAATGTTCATCCCTGACAATGACCTGCCAGATAATGTTCATCCTTGACAATGACCAGCCAGATAATGTTCATCCCTGACAATGACCTGCCAGATTATGTTCATCCTTGACAATGACCAGCCAGATAATGTTCATCCTTGACAATGACCAGCCAGACAATGTTCATCCCTGACAATGACCAGCCAGATAATGTTCATCCTTGACAATGACCAGCCAGACAATGTTCATCCCTGACAACGACCTGCCAGACAATGTTCATCCCTGACAATGACCTGCCAGATTATGTTCATCCCTGACAACGACTTCAGACAATGTTCATCCCTGACAACGACCTGCCAGACAATGTTCATCCCTGACAACGACCAGCCAGACAATCTTAATCCCTAACAATGACCTGCCAGACAATGTTCATCCCTGACAACGACCTGCCAGACAATGTTCATCCCTGACAATGACCTGCCAGATTATGTTCATCCCTGACAACGACTTCAGACAATGTTCATCCCTGACAACGACCTGCCAGACAATGTTCATCCCTGACAACGACCAGCCAGACAATCTTAATCCCTAACAATGACCTGCCAGACAATGTTCATCCCTGACAACGACCTGCCAGACAATGTTCATCCCTGACAATGACCTGCCAGATTATGTTCATCCTTGACAATGACCAGCCAGATAATGTTCATCCTTGACAATGACCAGCCAGACAATGTTCATCCCTGACAATGACCTGCCAGATAATGTTCATCCTTGACAATGACCTGCCAGATTATGTTCATCCTTGACAATGACCAGCCAGACAATGTTCATCCCTGACAACGACCTGCCAGATAATGTTCATCCTTGACAATGACCAGCCAGATAATGTTCATCCCTGACAATGACCTGCCAGATTATGTTCATCCTTGACAATGACCAGCCAGATAATGTTCATCCTTGACAATGACCAGCCAGACAATGTTCATCCCTGACAATGACCAGCCAGATAATGTTCATCCTTGACAATGACCAGCCAGACAATGTTCATCCCTGACAACGACCTGCCAGATAATGTTCATCCTTGACAATGACCAGCCAGATAATGTTCATCCCTGACAATGACCTGCCAGATTATGTTCATCCTTGACAATGACCAGCCAGACAATGTTCATCCCTGACAATGACCAGCCAGATTATGTTCATCCTTGACAATGACCAGCCAGATAATGTTCATCCTTGACAATGACCAGCCAGACAATGTTCATCCCTGACAATGACCTGCCAGATAATGTTCATCCTTGACAATGACCAGCCAGATAATGTTCATCCCTGACAATGACCTGCCAGATTATGTTCATCCTTGACAATGACCAGCCAGATAATGTTCATCCTTGACAATGACCAGCCAGATAATGTTCATCCCTGACAATGACCTGCCAGATTATGTTCATCCTTGACAATGACCAGCCAGATAATGTTCATCCTTGACAACGACCTGCCAGACAATGTTCATCCCTGACAACGACCTGCCAGACAATGTTCATCCCTGACAATGACCTGCCAGATAATGTTCATCCTTGACAATGACCAGCCAGATAATGTTCATCCTTGACAATGACCAGCCAGACAATGTTCATCCCTGACAACGACCTGCCAGACAATGTTCATCCCTGACAATGACCTGCTACGCAAGTTGATCTAAGATAATGTTCATCTGAGACAATGACCTGCTGGACAGTTCATCCCCGACAATGTTCATCCTGGACAATGACCTGCTAGACAATGTTCATACATGACAATGACCAGCCAGACAATGTTCATCCCTGACAATGACCTGCCAGACAATGTTCATCCCTGACAATGACCAGCCAGACAATGTTCATCCCTGACAATGACCAGCCAGACAATGTTCATCCCTGACAATGACCTGCCAGACAATGTTCATCCCTGACAATGACCTGCTACGCAAGTTGATCTAAGATAATGTTCATCTGAGACAATGACCTGCTGGACAGTTCATCCCCGACAATGTTCATCCCTGACAATGACCTGCTAGACAATGTTCATCCCTGACAATGACCTGCCAGACAATGTTCATCCCTGACAATGACCTGCTACGCAAGTTGATCTAAGATAATGTTCATCTGAGACAATGACCTGCTAGACAATGTTCATGCGTTGCTGAAGACCTATTCTCCCCCAGAATCTTCACGGGTTGAACCTGCTAGAGAGCTCCAGCAAGCACAAGGTCTGCTGTAGACTCACCACATGTCGCCATCGCTGATCAGTTTGCTGTTTGGGGCTCCAGCATGGCCGTAATGGAGAACCGATCCATTGTCACCACTGGCAAAACAAAATCATCAATAATCACCACCAAACATAAAATATAAGGTTTCTAGTTGTTTATCAGTAGAGTAGCTGATGTGTTGGTGTCTAAATTTCACAACAAATACCTTTTACAACTAAAACAACACACAATGAAAAATTGTTTATTTGCCTTCTAAATGGCCCTTATCTAATATTAAAATCTTCAAGATAAGTGTCAAATAATTCTGCCAATAATAAAAACATTGTTCATGTTGTGTTTGTTGTTGTTTTGCATTCAGCAATATTGCAGCTATATGATGACGGTCTGTAAATAATCAAGTCTGGACCAGACAATCCAATGATTGACATTATGACATTATGAGCATCTATACATTTTGGATACAATGACATGCATCAACCACACCACCGCCACCACCTGGTATCATTCTGTCGTCTGTCTTCTCTCACAAAAATCACATGTTCCTGGAGAAAATATCTAACACATAGTCCCAGAAACAAACCATCACAATTTGATCCTCAGATTTAGTGCTATATTTTGTAGCATAACAAAGTACTTTGCTGTGAACCTATACATAGTTAACAACCATTTGTTTGTTGGTTTGTTGTTTAACGCTGCACTCAGCAACATTCCAGCTATATGACAGCGGTCTTTAAATAATAGAGTCTGGACCAGACAATCCAGTGATTGATATCATGAGCACTGATCCAAGCAGTTTGGATACATTGACATGCATCAACCAAGTCAGCGAGTCTAACCACTCGATCCCGTTAGTCACCACTTACGACAAGCATGGATTGCTGAAGACCAATTCTAACCCGAATCTTTAAGGTCAGTCAGCATCCTACCATGATTCACACAGTGCACACATGCTGGTGTATCTGGCTTCTACCTATTTCAACAAAGAAACTGATGTCAACCAACCTTCCACAGATACAGGTATAGGACATGTTCCTCAGTCCGCCATTGATGTAAACATAGTGACAGAATACGCTGAAACAAATTTAAATCAGTGTGACAGCGAGATCTCACACTAACCTTCCACAGACACAGGTATACGCCAAATTCCTCAGTCCACCGTTGAAGGAAAGATAGTTATGGAACAGGCTGAAAAATACCCAAGACTTTCACATGCGGAAGGGTCAATATCAATACTTTAAGGGACTGAAATGTTGGGAGATTGATATTTTGAGGGATTTATGATATGACTGATTGATGTTTTGAATGATGAGTGAAAGATAAAAATTTGGTGGAATTATGTGGCCAATTGTGGAAATACGAACGAGAAAGAAGATGGACAGAACCATGGACCAGAATGTTTTCAGACATTAATCTCACATGGTTTCGGTGGACAATCAAGGCGAGTTGTTCTCAAGGGTTGATGTTTTGTATTTACAGAAATATTTTTCAAAAGTGTGGTTCAAAAGTCAACATATGAAATATAAAAAAAATGATTTTCAGTAATTTTTTAAAAGAACTTTGGCCTGAGGTGAGACATCATCCCTAGGCAAGAGAGTTAAATGACTTGAAAAGTTTCCACCCTTGCCGAAGAAGGTGGGAATTCCTGGGCTCGATCGTAGAGCTACCAGTGGTTATTTCAATAATCAAGATCTATATTGTGATAAAACGGGTCTTACATCATGAAGTGCATCAAATCACGCGAGCACTTTCATTAAAAACATGAAAAGATTTGGAAAATATCTGTTGACAACGAGTCGTCGGTGCACATGCTTTGCAAATCCTGCAATTGACCGTAATCTGTGTGACAGTTTACGAACCGGATTTCGATTATGTTGCGCAAATTTGATTGGACTATACATAGACTCGTTATTCCAGTCAAAATGTAACACCATAATACCAGCCTAGTTAGGCAAGGGTGGAAACTGGACTTTTATAGTCAGTTCACTCCCTTGCCTCGGGAAGATGGAAGTGAGATAAAGAAAGAATGAAAAGCATGCTTCGGTAATGACAAGTGAGAGGACTACATTGCTTGTAATATTGACCTAATTTGGGGTTTCTTTTCTTACTCAAATAACATGAATAACTCTTTAAAATTTTATTTCCCATTTGATTATTTCAATAAACGAAATAATTACAAATCTTCATATTGATGTTGATCTCACCTTTCTGCCTGATACTCATAGAGTCCAGGCCTCATGCCTTTCATGATCTGAAACACAGAACAACACGATGCGAATTATCTTCATGAAATTTTCTGCTGTGCCCCTTTTCTAGAGGAGTAAGTGGGGTGTAATGCCACAGTGTGTTTAGTTACATCATGGCAGGGCAGCTTCATTTAGGACGAAAACTTACGTAGTTTTATATGATGAGGTCTGCACCATGGTGAGAGTGAGTGAGTGAGTGAGTTGGGTTTAACGCCACTTTTAACAGTATTCCAGTTATATCCCGACGTGTCAACTTAATGTGAGAGGAAAGCCCGAAGTGATGCGTGTTGAAGAATAGGACTTGGACAAGCCCAAATTTACTACCCGGGTACCCAACCCCTTTTCACAACCCCACCCGCAGTAGGTGTCAAGAGTTACAGACAAAATGTTTTTTTGGGAATTGTTTTCACGGAGCGCTGGCAAAAGGTATTTAGAGACAAGTAAAGAGCAGACTCCGTACTGTCATGCCTACACCAAAGTTGACTTTATCTTTTTTCAAACACACAAAAGTCAGAAGTATTGCGAGCATAGTCAGAAAGAAATGTGAACATTAGTGCTTGTAGTGTTATCGTGGAGTTCAAGGGAATAGTTGTCATTAAACAATATATCACGTGACTAGCCACAGGTCAAGGTAGTCCTGTGGGTAGCGTGGTCCTATTTAGAACCCCCCTGACCCACATACCCAGTGTTCCTGTATCCCGGTAATTACCGGTAAAATAAGGCTTGGACCGGTATCTCATGTGACTGCCAGTCCCTGCGGATCGGCAAATAAAGTACCTAATAATTCTTTCTTGTTGAACAAAACATTGGCAATATTCATATAAGTATATTTTTTTACAAAGTCAGCTTGTCTGTTACCATCAGGGTTTCCCCTTTTTAATGCAAGGAAAAACATTTTGCTTTGCTTCAAGGTTAAATATATATTTGTTGTGATTTAGTCTCGAAATATTCAAAACAAGGTAGAAAATTTTGACTAAACTTTGGGTGAATGACGTGCAGATCTAACTAAGTTACTTCAGCATGTGTTCAGACATGAAGTCATTGCACTGAACCTGACGTGGAAATAATGAAAACGAGGTAACTTACATACATTTTTTTAATTGTTGAAAGATGGGACTGACAATAATTAGTGGGGACTGGTAATTTTTGGAGTAGCCAGTCCATCAGGACTGGTAGTTTCAAAAGCCAGCGGGAACACTGGTATCGTAGTTACCCATCCCAGCCCCGTGTTACAAGCCTACCTCTTTGTGTCCCTCGCTGGAGATTCTGTTGACGTATCTCAGCACATCCAGTTCGTAGTCACTCTTGTACACCCGGCTGTAGCAGAAGTGACAAGTTGGGTGTGTTTGTTGTATGGAAATCAGAAATATTCAAGGTGAATGAATTAAAACATGAACACAGGATGCACTTCTATTTCCATCAACAGATTTACTCTCAATAACACACAGACAGAAATACAATGGACTCTGCCCTTGAGAAAAAAAAAAACCCACTCAGTCACACAATTACATCATAGAATATATACATACATACACAAAACAGAATGTATGAGGGCTGGCTATCGATACAGATCATAGAGATCGATAATCGTTAATTAAATATCGATCAATTATCGATAAATATCGGAGAAGTATCTTGAAGTAAATATACAAAAAAAATCCAAAAGAAAACAACATATTTCACTCCACTGGTGATTGATGGCACAGGATTACTTTGTGGACATTTAAGAGATAACAATAACAGTAACTTTCGTTACTTTCCATCTTTAGCAATTAACATTGTTGACAATAACAAGTCTGTTTTGGAAAATCTAAACTTTATTTCATCACAATATTATATGTAAGGTATTTTCGATGACAGTTTTCAAATTGATAATCGTTAATATTTCTTTCCATCGATGATAATTCTGATTATCAATCTTTTTTGCTAGCCCCAGAATGTGAAGAAACCAAGGTCTAGGATACTAATCACATTCAAAGAAACAGGGAGTGACACCAGAAATGGGCTTCACACATTGCACCCATGTCGGGAATCGAACCCGGATTTTCGGCGTGACGAGCAAACGCTTAAACCACTAGGCCACCCGACCGCCCCCTATGTTAACAAACAAGTGGTGACTGCCGTGCGACGCCAAATAATCTTCCCCTACCTTAAATCTTGTCAGTTTTGTCAGTTTGAATGTCTATTTCATTTCAACTAGCATGTAATTGGTATAACAAGAATGGTATTGTAAGGGGGAAGTTAGGTGATTTTCCGTTTGCAATCTCAAACCAATCTGATCAAACAAACAAAAATTAAATTCATCTGGGAAATCTGGTCACTGTGAACCTTTTCAAAATTCACTACTTTGGCATTCCCGAAGACATAAACAAAAATATAAATGTTACAACATTTGGGGTTAGAGGGAAAATTTCAATATCCTTGTAATGGCCGCTCCCACACTGACGTGAGCAATGTGACCAAGAGTGTAACTGGTAGGAGCTTGACGTGTAGAACGCAAAGGGAGATAACACCATAATCATGCAAATTGTGCAAACCACAAGAAAATATGGCCAAAGCTATGTAACGACATAATAGTCTTGGCCAGGCAAACCCGTGGTTGAGCAACGTCCCTTGCCGTCAGGGTATGACAACTCACAATTGACCTACCAATCTTCATTTTAGTGGGCTCTTATTCATGACAAGCATAAGGTATATGGGGCCCTGTGTGACCCAGCTTCCACTCATGTCAAAATAAGGGTTGTTTGTTTGTTGTTTAACGTCGCACTCAGCAATATTCCAATGATATGATTTTCTTTGTTTTTTGTTGTTTAAGGCCGCGCTCAGCAATATTCCAGCCACATGACAGTAGTCTGTAAATAATCAAGCCTGGACCTGACAATCCCGCGATTGATGTCATGAGCATCGATCCACGCAATTGAGACATGATGACCCAGGTCTTTATGGCTAAAAAAAGAGAACTGTAGAGAAATAAGCGTACATATAACTACAAGAAAGCTAGTCTTTCTCTCCTTACCACTCCGTGATCTCTGGATGAAGCAGCTTATTGTCAACTTTGAATCTGAAAAAAAGGAAACAATGTGAACAAAAGGAATTCTAATTTTAGTGTATTGGGATTGTTATTAGACATGTATTCAGGAATATCTTTGGGACTCGAAAACCCGTAGCAGGAAGATATATATATATCCATGTTAATAAGGATATCGAGCGGAGGATTTTCCCCTTAGTTTTCAGCCACAGTCAAACAGTCAACAGTACAAGTGTATGAACAAGTATTAAATGCTGCCTTTCACAATATTCCAACAAGATCAGGACATGACACACCAGACATAGGTTAGAGTGAGTGAGTGAGTGAGTGAGTGAGGTTTAACGCCGCTTTTAGCAATATTCCAGCAATATCACGGCGGGGGACACCAGAAATGGGCTTCACACATTGTACCCATGTCGGGAATCGAACCCGGGTCTTCGGCGTGACGAGTGAACGCTTTAACCACTAGGCTACCCGACCGCCCCACATAGGTTAGAATGTATGTAGGGGGTTTTGCTTGAGTGAGAAATTTAGTTCACATTGACAATGTTTCTGCCCTATTATGACTTGATAAGGTAAATGTTATTACTACTCACTCTCCGATTCCGTCAAATGCTGCCTCACGGCTGTACTTCCCACTGTCGGTATTCAAACCATGCTGAAATTTGTACACAGCTCAGTTTAACTTGATTTAACTTGCACCAAGTGCATGTTGACATGAAAACCTGGTTGCATCAGACAAAACCTGGTTGCATCAGACAAAACCTGGTTGCATCAGACAAAACCTGGTTGCATCAGACAAAACCAGGCTGCATTCTGTTCCCATAAATTTAGCAAAGTATAAACATAGATGCACAGATCGCACATCTCAGATCTGTCATGAAGGGATTATTTATTAAGTTTGGAAAACAAAGCTTTGAGGTACTGAGTGTATTCAACGATCAATGTTGGGTTAGTCAGATAAAAAATTTAAATTATTTTTCACATCCACTTTTGAGTCCCATCTGGGATTTGAACCCACTCTGCCAGAGTGAGGCACCTAATCGCCAGCACACAAAGTCAGCGATCCTACCTACACACTTTCCACAAAAATGAAAGTCCTACAAATGGTAGTCTATTCCACTATTCCACTGTCGTGGCCAGATTTGAACCGCAGTGAGTGGAACTTTTCAGATGCTTTGTATGAGAATTTAGAGTTATCTGCCCCTTGTTGTTTACATGAACAGGGCAGACTTGATCATTCAAGAAGTTTCTGGATGGGACAGTTTCTAGTAGGTTGGCTGTACTAATATAAGAGTGACAAGAGGGAAAATCTAGACATTCTTTAAGTTCTACTTGCCAAGTGCAGTTTGGATATCAATCTGGAAACCACCTCATTACACTGGACCCATTCGCTACTAAGCTTCACTTCCGATGTGACCTCACAAACTCCTTCTCTCCAATGGGTAACTTTGCACAGAATGTCTCTCATTTATAAGCACTTTGATTGGACAGCTATTTTAAGCATAGCATCATTCACCATGTTGAAGCAGGATTCAAAACGCAGCTATGGTGGCGAGTGGGTCAAGTGTATTTGCCATAATAAAATGTTGATATTGATACTGGATAAATCTGAGAGGCTATTTTTTAATTATCCCCCGCCCAACAAAGTTGACGGGGGATATAGAAACAGGCTCCGTCTGTCTGTCTGTCCGTCACATTTCGTTTCCAGAGCATAACTCAGAAACCGTTTTTTTCATGAAACTTTGAAGGTCTGTCAAGTACATGCTGAACTGGTGCCTTTTGCTATTTAGAAATTTTAGAAAAATTTTTTTTTTACGTTTCCATGGCAACAAGATGGACTTATTGTGACATATCAGTTTAACTAACACAAAAGGTTACAACTGGTTTAACAATAAGAGAGGTTTAACTAACACTGCACACATTCACAATGTTCAGACCAACCAACACTTTTCTAAATATACTACTCAACTTTTGATAGGAATAATGACACAGGAAGATGAAAACATCCCCATCAAACGTGGAGCAGTATAAAACAGAAACAGAAACGTTCAGCTGAACTGCTTAACTTTGTCCTATTTAATCCACATGAAGCTGAGTATCTCACTTACCAGGGTTAGGATAACAGATGGATTTTTTTCCTTCAGCACCTTGGCAATCTGAAAATAAAATGCAGCCAGATTAATGTTACACCAACTCAGTGGGGACATATTGGATGAGGGGGCACGGGTGGCCCAGTCGTCTAAAGCGCCGCGATTCGCTGTGCAGAGTTGCGTCCCTTTGGCAGGCCAGAAACCTATGATTGTGGTTTCGAATCCCGGTTCGCCCCGATTATGTTTCTAGGTTTGTCAGCACCATACCCGTGCTCGTGGGTTTCACCGAACTGGTAAACGTCTAAGACCTGCATCACTTCGGGCTTTCCTCCCACATTAAGCTGACACGCCGCGATATAACTGGAATACTGTTAAAAGCGGCGTTAAACCCAACTCACTCACTCACATATTGGATGAGTCTGAGTGAATACACTGAGTGAGTGAGTTGGGTTTAATGCTGCTCTGGGCAATATTTCAGTTATATCACGGGCAGAGAGACAAAAACAAAACAGACACAGATCAGTAATTAATGTTTAGCAGGTCGGCTTGATAAACAACTGGGCACCATAATCACGTGATATGATTTGAGTATGTTAGTGGTGATTGGTTCATCCTGACCATTAGATGACTAGGGAGTAGTAGTCGGATGAAACACGGATGCATCGGTGGATCGCGATTGTTTTCTCTTCAAACATCAAACAATAACTACTAGTGAAAATGAGTAGTGAAAAGGTAAATATTTTCATCCATTGTGCTGGGGCTGGGACGAGTCCAAATTTACGACCCGTGTACCCAACCCCCTATTACCTAAATGTTTGATTGGGAAACGTTTGACCCTACTCCTGCCAAAATGTATTTAGATACACGTATAAACCGATCTGGTCATGCATACACAAGCTGACTTAAGTTTATCTTTATGCAAACATATAAAGTCAGAAGTAATGTGTGCATAGTCAGAAAGGAAAGTGAACATTTGTCACTTATAGAGTTCTAGATAATTTTTTGCCATTGAATAATATAATCATGTGACTAACCACGGGTCTGGATAGTCCTGTGGGTACCTGAGTCCTACTCAGTACCCACCTGACCTGAGTACCTGAGTTACCCATCCCAGCACCATACTTGACACTGCCAACTGTAAATCATCCCTGTCCCAGGTATTTGGCCATGCTGTCTATGAAAAAGATGGCTTACGCACCACAGATAAGAGCACATGCACGTATTGTGATACCTGTTGGATCGTGAGCAATGTATCCTGATACGAATCAGATCATGAGGAAGGTATCGTCATACGTATCAGTTCATGAGCAAGGTATCGTGATATGCATCAGATCATGAGCAAAGTATCGTGATATGCATCAGATCGTGAGCAAGGTATCGTGATACGTATCAGATCGTGAGCAAGGTATCATGATACACATCAGATCGTGCGCAAGGTATCGTGATACGTATCGGATCATGAGCAAGGTATTGTGATAGTATCAGATTGTGTGCAAGGTATCGTGATACATTTCAGATCGTGAGCAAGGTATCGTGATAGTATCAGATCGTGTGCAAGGTATCATGATACACATGAGATCGTGTGCAAGGTATCGTGATACGTATCAGATCGTGAGCAAGGTATCATGATACAAATCAGATCGTGTGCAAGGTATCGTGATACGTTTAAGATCGTGAGCAAGGTATCATGATAGTATCAGATCGTGAGCAAGGTACCGTGATATGCATAAGATCATGAGCAAAGTATCCTGATATGCATCAGATGGTGAGCAAGGTATCGTGATAGTTTCAGATTGTGTGCAAGGTATTGTGATACGTTTCAGATCATGAGCAAGGTATCGTGATAGTATCAGATCGTGTGCAAGGTATCGTGATAGTATCAGATCATGTGCAAGGTATCATGATACACATCAGATCGTGCGCAAGGTATTGTGATACGTATCAGATCAGGAGCAAGGTATTGTGATAGTATCAGATCGTGTGCAAGGCATCGTGATACGCATCAGATTGTGTACAAGGTATCTTGATACGTATCAGATCGTGAGCAAGGTATCGTGATACGCATCAGATCGTGAGCAAGGTAACATGATATGCATCAGATCGTGAGCAAGGTATCTTGATACGTATCACAACGTGAGCAAGGTATCGTGATACGTATCCTATCGTGAGCAAGGTATCGTTATACGTATCACATCGTGAGCAAGGTATCTTGATACGTATCACATCGTGAGCAAGGTATTGTGATACGCATTGGATCGTGAGCAAGGTATCTTGATACGTATCGCATTGTGAGCAAGGTATCATGATACGTATCCTATCGTGAGCAAGGTATTGTGATATGTATCGCATCGTGAGCAAGGTATCATGATACGTATCCTATCGTGAGCAAGGTATTGTGATACGTATCCTATCGTGAGCAAGGTATTGTGATACGCATCAGATTGTGAGCAAGGTATCTTGATACGTATCAGATCGTGAGCAAGGTATTGTGATACGCATTGGATCGTGAGCAAGGTATCGTGATACGTATCGGATCTCACAGTTGGTGTATCATCCCAGCCCTATTAGGGATCAGGGTCTGATGCACACACATGATGACATTCTGATTTAGGGAGCAGTCGAATCCTGTTACCCCAACCCCAACGACCGTGTTGAAACTACGAGATATCTGGGCATTCGAGATAACAAGGTCGGTGTTCGAGACAGCAAGGTTTGGCTGTATATTGGAGCTATTTCAGTTTCTTTCACTAATATGCCACTTGTGTTCCAAGTGAATTAGAGATTTCTAAACACTATTTGATGATTCTAAATCTGATATAAAACCAAACATATTAGAGTGAAATTGTAAATCCTGATCAAATATCATTGTAGAACAAACAACTGAGGACTATGATTGGTTGTTTTTTGTTTTACGCGGCACTCAGCAATATTCCAGCTAAATGAATCTGAAAATAATCGAATCTGGACCAGACAATCCAGTGATTGATATCATAAGCATCGATTCTCACAATGGGATCAATGACATGCTTCAAAGTCAGTGTGCCCGACCACCCAATCCCATTAGTCGCCTCTTATGACAAGCATAGTCACGTTTACGGCAAGCATGGGTTGCCGGAGACCTATTATAACCCGGAATCTTAACAGGTCTGAGGACTATGATCATAATCTTACATCGGGCACAAAATGGACTTCATCCACACCATAGCGCACACGGAAATCTTCACACGTCAGCAATCTGTTGTGAAAAAAGAGAGATATATATCATACAGATTTTTTAGTAAACAAAACAGTGTGATCACTGCATATGTGTGGGGTGGGTGATAGGGCTGGGACAAATCCAAAAAAACTAGCTGTTTACTTACAGAAACTGGGAAACAGGGACACAACTTCGCACCAATCCACTACTTGTCTAATGCTATCAGTATCCCAAGGGCTAATGGAATTTCAGACTCGATATGTTATCACTACTCAGGGCTAGTGAATATTTCGAGTTAAGCTTACCTCTCTGAAACACATGGCTGACATAAAAACTTTGAAAATGATAAATGGTTCTCTTACTTGCCCATCCAGACACCATAAGAGGCTGGCAATTTGGGAGCAAAGAGAATGGTCTTCCCT